ATATATATATATATATATATATATATATATATATATATATATATATATGTATATCTATATATATATACACATGTGTATATATATATATATGCATATACATACACAGATTACTGACGTATATACTCTGTATGTGTATATATATATGTATATATATCTCCCTCTCTCTCTCTCTCTCCTCCTCCTCCTCCTCCTCCTCCTCCTCCTCCTCCTCCTCCTCTAGAGACAAACACACACCCACACATTCACACACACACACAGAGTTTCTGGGTCTTATTGTACTCTCTGGAAATTGCCCGGAACCCCGTCTGAGCCAGGCTGAACGTCCTGGACCCGAAAGGGATGAAGGTCAGCGCATGCCTGGTCTCAAGTAAGTAAGCCAAAGGGTTTGGTAGGGTTCCTGTACGTTTTTCCATAAGAGTCCAGGTTACAAGGGCAATCTAGTTTTCAAGAAGCGATGGAGTTGCAAGTACCTTACAAAGGGTTATCTTGTTTACAGCCTCCAAAGCCAGAACCCAGCCCGACAGACTACCACCTGAACCCCGAAAAACGCCCTCAACCGTAAATCCTGTTTCCTAAGCCTCATGAAAGAAGGGAGACGACAAGGTGGGGTGTGTCGGGGATTCGCGGTTCAGGGCTTTGGGGTTTTAGGACTTGCATTGTAGGATGTCAGAGTTTTAGAGTACAGGTAAGGGCTCGAATCGCCGCAGCAGCGCGGAACTATCGTTAGCCCCAGTGCCCATGGAGGGCACGCCTTCACCTGGCGCCGCACTTGCGAGGCGGCATGCAGATCTTTGTCAAGACCTTGGACGTTGAGGCCAGTGACAAGTTCGACAAAGTCAAGGCTAAGTCCCAAGATAAGGCAGGCATCCCGCCAAACCAGCAGCACCTGATCTTTGCTGGCAAGCAGTTTGAGGGCGGCCGTACTCTTTCGGATGATAACCTCCAGAAGGAATCGACCCCTGGCGGCATCCAGGTCCTTGTCAAGACCCTGATGCTCACCTTGGACGTTGAGGACGAGCAGCACCTGATCTTTGCTGGCAAGCAGTTTGAGGGTGGGCGTATTCTTTCGGATTACAACCTCCAGGTGGAATCGACCCCTCACTTGGCGCCGCACTTGCGAGGCGGCATGCAGATCTTTGTCAAGACCTTGGACGTTGAGGCCAGTGACAAGTTCGACAACGTCAAGGCTAAGTCCCAAGATAAGGCAGGCATCCCGCCCGACCAGCGGCACCTGATATTTGCTGGCAAGCAGTTTGAGGGCGGCCGTACTCTTTCGGATGACTACCTCCAGAAGGAATCGACCCCTGGCGATGGTAAGTACGATCGTGACATGCGGCACTATGAGTGCAAGACTGAAGGCACTAACGTTGCTTTTACGATAATTACGATAGGCGAGCGCCTTGACATCTGGCTCCGCAGCCCCCGCAGCCCGGTAGACCAGGTCCTGGAGTTCTGCGGCATGTCGACGGGTTTGTTGGGCGCTTCGCTTTCGTTAGACTCGGACCTCACACGTGTTGGTGTGTATATACGCGGTCACTGTATGCAGCGGCACGTCTGAGAGGGCACAGTGATGTTTAATTTTCCATTGTGAGGGACCTACCCTGTAGTTGGCCTCCCCTGTTCCCTGGAGGAATAAGCTCAGGGTTCAAGTGTGAATGCGTTGTACATGGCACGCATGTTTCGAGTGGGACGTGGTTTGAATGAAACCACCTTGTGGGGCGTTGAAAGGCTTTGTCTTGTAGTTTGCCTCCCCCGGCCCCCGGAGGAATGCTCAAGATAGTACTGTTTTTGTTCGGTTGCCGGTTGTGAAAGGTTCTACGGTGACAAGTAGAACCTCAATCGAGCCCGGTTGCGTGCGTTAGGTAGCGTTTTAGCTTTCAGTCCGAGTGCCAGGCAATTGTAAATTGTGTATGGCATGTCCCCATCAATGCCGGCAGCGGCTGTCCCTTGATGGCTCTAGTTTTGACTTTTTGAAGAGATGTGCATGGCCGAGACAGCTTTTGTACATGCTGGTTCCATCTTGGCATGCTTCCTCTTCTGCAGATTTCTGCTCCGCTCGGGTTTATTCCGGGCGAGTGCACACTGCTTCAACCCTGAATTCATTGCTAGGCGTGCGTCCTCTGGACCCTGAACGCTACGAAGAAGAGTACAGGTAGCATGTTTCGGGAAGATTCGGGAGGAAGGGTTGGGATGGCTTCGGGCTTTGGGTTGAGCTTTTGGGCTTGCAAGCCGGCTGCAAAGTCCTCAGACCTCCAACCTGGTCCAGTGCCTTCTAAGCTTCGAAGCTGTCCCAAGCCTGAAGCTGTTGTACAGTCTTGTCTGCATCGACTTTCCTTCCAAGTCTTCCACATCGAGCATTTTGACTTTGACAGCCCGGAAACCAAAATGCAAAAACGTTCAGAGCCGATAGCCACTAAAACGATGCCGCCAACGACTTCCTTACAAACCCAGAGACTCTTTATGTCTTATGTTCGAGGCTCTTGGCAGCTTGACCAGGTTTGCACCCTGTACAACCTCATCGCATTCTACCAGCCATTTTCGGAAACATCCCTACTTACAGGCTATCTATGTAAAGCACTGTTTTATAAATTCTCTAGATAAGCATAAAGTTTCGATTTTATCATGGGGACGTACAAGAAAGAACTTTACCGGACAGTCGAGCCTCTCCAAACCCGACACTCGGACCCTTCTCGAGAGGCCGCATTTCTTTGGCGCTCGCCCTGGCGGGAGACGCTTCGGTGGATTCAAGCAGAAGTTAGGTCTCGGACCTGAGGATTTGGACGTTTTGGGGCATGGGGTTGTCGGGTTCAGAAGATCGTCCCAAGGACGCTCTTTATAGCTGTCGTGATGTGTGCTATGATGGTGGTTGCTCTTCTCGTCACTACTTCCGGCATTTATTGCGACCTTGCCCCCAACAGAAGCCGCAAGAACGTAGGGTCCAGCGCTATATAAGGTGTACCACAACGACGGGCTTAGACGGTTTGGCGGGGAGCCACGAATCGCGATCATCGGTCTGTACGCGCTCAAACCACCAGGGAACTGACATGTCGAGTGCTGGTCCAACTGTATTAAGACGATGCTCGCAAGGTCGCACTGAAACCCGAATCCCCAATTCTGGCACGAAGCCCACCGACACGCTGCACCATAACCAGTTCCAGCATCCCAGAGACCGACGCATTCAGAACGACATGGCTGCATGCTGGGGGTCGAGTTTTGGGGGCATATATCTCTTGTTATTGTAGTCTTGCTTTCCAATGACCGAGTAATTTCAAGCTTATTATGAACAAGGTGCAGCAACATCACCATATCCCTCATAGTCCTATAGAAGTGTAGCAGCACAATATGACGCAATATCCCGAAGCCATATTTTAACCGTTACTCAGGCCACTTTGTTCCTCACTCGGGTTCCGCAGCTAAGCTGGATTGCACAAAACCGCATATCTCAACTCTGATAATTGGAACATGGCTTGGGGAATGATCTACTTATTGATACAGGGACGATAATGAGACTACCATCATTCATTATTTCGGCCCCTTATTGAACTCGGAGCTAAGGAAGTGTATAGCCTGGCTGCAAATGCCGCTGCAGGCACACTGGTCGGGGACATCGTAGGGGTTGAACGATCCAGGGTGTAGAATTCAGGGCACAGGGTTTAGGGTTTGCTGTTCAGGCTTCTCAACCCGACAGCCCGAAACCTCGACCCCTGAACCTCCCCCTCAATTCTCAGTCCTAAACTCAAAGCACTTTCTGGCGCAAGTTGAGGAGTCGGGGACTCTAGGGTAAGATGTGAAACTCTGAGCTTCAACATCCGTCCCGATGATAAGGATCCTCCTAGTTGGCTTGTACAAGGGAAACCCTCATAGTGAGCAGCCCCCGAAGATCGAAAGCTCGGAAAGCCTGCGAGCAGCTGCATGGACGTCAGTAGTTGCCTTGCATCCCATCCATTCCGAGAGAAGCGCCATCGAAAATTGTAAAAGTCCAACGAGAAAGCATTTGGGAGTTTAGAGGTTTCGGTCCTGGGATCTGGGATGTGCAGGGTCAGAGGCTTCAAGCGGTTGTTTCGGAATTTGAAGATCATAGGCAGTGATAGAGCAGTAATGATGTCTCTATCAAGCCAAGAATGCCATCAACTGTGCGCAAGTGCATATGCACAGTCGCAACTATAAAGTGGAAGATGCGCATCCAAATTCCCAGCACCCCACACCACAGACATGCACGCCTTCCAAAGCTTGAGTCTTGCAACTACGAAACGTTCTATCTTTCGCGTTTGGTCTGGCCTGGTCTCAACTATTTGGGGAAGTCCCCGTCATGTCCAGCCAAAACCTAAAGGTGGAAGATGGATTAGACAAAGCGGAGGTTGGAAGATGCGGTTGCCGCATCAATGGTTCCGATTGCCGCTTTCCAACTTTCCGGCTGTCATCGTATATTATATATATAATAAGACCAAGATACTTGTTGTGTCTTTGAGCATTTCGAACATTCGTAAACTCCACGGATAGAGTCAGAGGGCTTGGCTGATGAAGCTTTGCTCGAGCCTTCCCTGAAGCCATGACCTTCTTTGGTCGGCCTAAACCCCAAACCCTAAACTTCAACCGAAAAGCCCAAGGCCCTCCAACATCCTAACCCTTGAAAGCCCCCAAATCTGCAACCCCCGTTGTCTGCGCCAGCTCTTCGCCCCCACGCTGACAGCGGTGGTCGTGCTCCAGGTAGTTCAGGGTTTAGGGTTCTATTGCAGGGCAAGGGTTCCTTTTTCTGGCTCCTTCAGGGTTCCGTAGGGTCCCTGTTTAAATCTGGCTTCCCGTCTGGGGATCGACAGCGCCCAGGATTTCGAGTTGTTGGTTGCATTCCTGGTCTTCAGATGCCGGGATGTAGGGGGCGCGAGACGCATAACTCGCAGATTCCCACAACCCGAAGCTTTCATCCTAGCTCTTAACCCAAAGCCCATTTACCTTCGATCAGCCCTGCGGAGGCCCTCAGCTCTCTCGCGAGCGACGTGCCTATGGTGCAGGATCTCCATGGCTATTGGTTTGATCATCACGAGTACTGGCACGGTTGTCGTGATGACGTGGACTGCTGATATAATATGAGCTTGTACATGATGTTGATCAGAGGGTTGCTCTTCTTTCATTCTTGAGCATCGGATTTCAGGTCAGGGTTTCTCCGTAGGCTTGAGCCCAACTCCGAAAATTGATCCAGACACCCACACCCTTCTTTCCGCTTTCCGTAGATATCTGAAGTCCGCGCTCCTACACCCCGTCGCAAACCAGCTCCAAACATCCGAAAGCCGCGGCCCCAAACCTCAAACCACCGCGAAAAGCAAAGCACTCAAATTTGACCCCCCCCCCCCCCGTCTCGAAGGTTTTGTAGTACCGCATCAACCCCCTAAATACTAAAAGCAGTGACAAGCTCCTGTCGCCTCGTGAAGACCCCTCGCAAAGCCTACTAAGCCACTGATGAATTCGAGGACCTCGAACCTAACCCCCCAAAGTCCTTCATCCAGAAATTCTGAAATACGACCTCTTTGGTTTGGGGTCGAAGGAATCTGAGGCGCCTTTCTTAATTTTGTAAGGGATCTGTACAAGCGGCGTATATTTTTCCAATTAGGGCTTCCTGCATTGGCGATTCGCGTTTATAGGTGTGTTTATACGAGCCTTTGTCAGCGAGCCCGCTGTTGTTTTCCATAGATTGGTGGGTTCGGAGCGGTTTTTGGGTTTAGGATTTTGGCACACCCCAAATGCCAAAGCTCGCTTCTTTCGACTGTTGAAGGTCGCAGGAAGACCAGATCTTTAACTCCGTCCTATAGTCTAGATTCCCGAGGCCTTCCACCCTGAAGCCCTAGAGATTGAATTCGCCAGGCCAGGCCCTAAACCCTAAAGCCTTAAAGCCTAGGCTCTAACCCCAAAGATCCCGAAGGAGTTTGCGGGCCCAGCACTCCTGGGCATGTTGATGATTCTGGTCTTCGGGCCTTTCCTCTTTGTCCCTGCTCCTTGGCCCTTGGCCCTTCTTCTTGGGTTCTGGGAAGCGGGCCTTTTTCCAGGGTTCAGGGCTGCTTTAACCTTTGGTGGGTTTCGGGGGGCCTGTTCTCTGTCCTGATTTGGGGTTTATGCTTTGAGATTTAGTTTTCGGGTTTGGGTGCTTGTTGCCATGTGGGCTGGGATGCTGTTTTTCCTTGTGGGGCTGCGGCTGTGGGCCCCAAGGAGCTGGCAATGCTGGGTTGCAGAATCTCGAAGACTCCCCCAAGAAGCATCTGCAACACCCCGCATTCCCAAAGCCCTCAACGGCTGCTAAGGCTTCGACAGCCTCCAACAAGTTCTATGACACCAGCAAGCATTCTTTACATTCTGAAAGGTACTGCGGCTTGTGAAGCCTTCCAACAAGGGCTCTATTTCAACCCTAAAGCTTCAAAGGCAAATCACGAAGCCATTGCGTAACTCGTTCCAACCCCCCTAAACTGAACCCTTCTCTTCTTCTCTTCCTTAGGCCATTCTCCTCGGCGACGCGGCCGCAGAACGCCGTCTCTTTGAGGCTTCCGGGCTCGCGCAGCTGCTGCCCAAGGAGACTTTCGTTGTTTTTGTTTGGAAGGTTTTTCAAGGGTTTTTACACCAAGGCTTTTGCAGCGGTTGTTGTAAAGTGTTGAATGAATCGTATGAGGGTTTCGCAAAGATTTATAAAGGGCTTAAGTAGTTTATACCAGGATTCGTAGTATTGGGGCTTGTATGGTTGCATACATGTTTTGTATGGGCTTTAGGGTTCGGCATGGGCTTCATAGGATGGCTTTTGGGGTTTCGGTTGTCGGGTTAGGGCTTGGGGTTTTGGGTTTCAGGAATTGATGTGCGATTTGGGATTAGGATTTGGCGGATTTGGATTTAGGTTTTTGTTTGGGGTGTGGGTGGCTTGGTTGGTGGGAGGGCAAAGCGGCAAGGGTTTGAATGGGGGCTCGGCGGGCACTTATATGGTTTCGGGGGTAGATTTTTGCAGGGTGTGGCGGGGCTTTAGACGCTTTCTTCAAGTGCTTGATAGATTTCTAGATTGGGTTCGGGGCATTCGGATTCAGGGTGAGGTGCCAAGCTGCTACAGACGAAACCCCGATCGACTGCTTGAAAGGAATGTAGCGCAAGCCTTCAACCTTAAGCCCAATCCCCACGCGCTAAACCCTAGCAGGCCCGAGCCCTAGCATCCACTTAAGTCTGCCTAGTCTTAGCATTCCGAAGGACGTCTAGCACCGGAAAGGACCTCTTTTCCCTGAGCCTGAGCCCGGGTGGCAGGAGATAGCGTCCACGCCCGAAACGGCAGCCCAGCGCCGCGGCCGACGGCGCTACGCGCTCTTCGTGGCGACGCGCCGCTGGGCGAACTTTGGGGAAGCTTGTGGCCTTGAAGGGTTCAAAGTTGAATCGGGCTGAGCTTAAGGTTTTGGCAGGCTTTGTTCCGAAGTCTAGCTTCATGACATGATGCCAAAGCGAACGAGCACATGCTCAACCCGGAAGCGAAATTGCATGTTCGTGCGCATGCACTCCTCTAGTTGCCCAGCTTCTGTCTGTATTTCTGCATGACGATAGAGAACGCGCGTGCATCATTGCTTGGAAATTTGTTTTTGCGACATCCTGAGCCGGCAGCTTCCTGGTTCTGGGGCCGAGGGAGTCTCCTTCGTAAAGAAAGATCTTGAAGAAGAAGCCCTCCACGCACTGAAGCCTGAACCCCGAACCCATCCGAATCCCGAACCGAAGACGCTCCATCAGCTAACGTGTTTGAATCTAGCAGTGTTTCCGATTTAGGGCTTAGGGTTGGTGCGCATTGCTGCATGGCATTCAGGATACAGCTATTGGCTCGCCTGTCCTACGCTGACAGTCTCTGCGTTGCGACTGGCCGGCATTTTCAACCGATGGATTTTGGGTTTGAGGTTCAGGGCGATACTCACGGGTTGAGGCTGTTCAGTCTGGGGGACTCCGTGTGCAAGGCCTGGGCCTAAGCCGACATGTCACGAAAACTCTGAGATGTAAAAAAACCCGCGTTGCACCCCAAAAGCCAAAGGAGGGGACGCGCTTCAGAGCGTGAAAAATCGATGCTAGGCATTCGCGGGGAGTTTCAGAAAACAGGGACGCAAATACAGAACCCTGCACGGACCCGCTTCGACCGTACCGAATTCAGGATCCCCTGAGATGGTTTGAGATCTCAAGAATTTTGCCAGCCCGAGACCTTGCAACCCTAAACCATCCTTAAAATCGCTGAAGTATCCTAAACCAAGCGGACCATTAAAAAACTCTAAACCTAAACCTCAAGCCCTGAACTCTACAGACTGAACCAAATCTTGAGGATCCTGATTGTGATCGTCGCAGTGAACAGCCAGGCTCGCTGGGACCTGCAAAATCTAACAGCCGTTCGTCGAGGAGTCGACCCCAAACCGTACTGATCTCCTGGGTTTTTCAGAGGAGAAGTTCAAAGGACCCGGGGCTTTAAGTGGGAAAGAGATTTATGCTTTAGCGCATTGAGCTTCTCATGGTTTAGGGTTCGGGGTTTTGGTTTTCGTTCTAGGGCTTGGGGTAGTTTCGGGTCTCAGGGTTCGCACGGTTGTCTGGTCCACGACTGTCTGATTAACCTGAACTCCTCGAACTTTCTTTTGGGCACCTCCAACAGAGAACGATAATTGGAGCGACCCACATGTGCTTGTTGTGAGCTTTGGATTTAGTGCAGGTAATCCTGAACGGGTAGGAACCCGAAGCTGGATTCTGGTTCGGTTTCGCAGCTTTTAGAGGGCGCCTAGCCTCGGCAGGTGCTGCTGGAGGCCGAAACGCCATATCTCTTCAGCCCGGCCCCCGGAAATTTCGGACTTAGGGTTTCGGGGCTCCAGGGTTCCAAGGGTACGAGGTTGGTGGAGCTGAGGGCTTCATGTTTCTGGTTTTTGGTCTCAGTCTCCGGCTTAAGTAGGATTTCGGGTTTAGGGTTTAGGAATCCAGAGAAGTTGCACACAACTTCGGAGATTCTGCTTGAAGTCCACGGAGCAATTGCAAGCTGCTCGCACTTGGCGTTTTCGTGTGAACTGAACCCTGCACCTCTAAACTACGACAAACCCGTGAGACCATCAACTCTACTTGCCCTCATCCTTGTGGGATTGGAGGCAAGCACTTCTAGGGTTGTGGGGGGTTTGGGCTGAGGGCTTATACCCCAAACCCTCGTACCAGCAATCCTTGGGAGGATGACACTCCTGCGCCCAGAGTTCCACACCCCTAAGATTTTAGACTGTATGACTCTATTCGTCGTGGAGTCGCAAACCCTGCGAAATCCTGCCAGCAGAGTAACAGTAGATGCAAAACGCCATACCCAATACACCCACAGCCAGCAGCCACAGCTCCTGTCCGGCAGTAAGCTCTCAAATCCTCAATCCGTGGACCCGGCTCTCGTTGTGTTGTCCTTCCACACACCTGTCATCGCTGCCCAGACAGTGATCACATCTTCCACCGAGCCCAAGAAGTCAAGGTGGGTGATTTCGGCAGCTTCGGGGGCAAGTTTAGGGTTTGAGCTGGGGTTAGTTAGGAGTCTGACGCTTTGGTTTTGGGTTTGAGTCCGGGTGCCTCTAAGCACACTCGGACTGCAACTGGGCACCTTGAAGGAAACAACCACTAAGCAGGAGTACAGTACGGGATGTTGGTCCCCGTGGATTCATGGCGTTTTTTTGCCGTGGGAGGTTGGTCGCGCGGGTGTAGAAGGATCTTGGCTTGGGGGATGTAGGTGCTTGCGAAATCGCCCTTCTGAATTCAAGACTCAGGGGCTGCTTACAGGCGCCCTGATATTTGAGGTGTATGTAAGTCTCCCCCCTATGATTTGTAGAAATAGAAATTGGGAATTTGCGGTTTTGAGATGTAAGGCTCGGGGATTCTGGTGACTGTGGCTTGGCTGAAAAGCTGCACAGAGCCTCGGGATTTGGGGATGTAAGCTGTCGTGGACCTACAGTTCAGGCCATAGGGAGCTTGCGGGTTTGGGGGGGGGGGGGGGCTTCCAAGCTCGTTACAACATCCTATAGTTAAACCGTTAAACCTAAGAGATTAGTTTAAGAGCCTTGGTGGAGGAAGCAACTGGTGCAGGGGCCTTATCTATGAATATCTTCCGCAGCGTTCCGACATAGAGTTAGACTATAAAGCACCCGAAATGCTTGTTGAAATCATGAGGCCTTTGCGTGGTCTCTTCAGCATGCTTCGAAGCAGACCAACATGCTTGAGTTTTGAGTTTTGCTTATGGTTTGTTGGTGAAACCTTGGACAAAACGTTACTAAGCGCAAAAGCTAAATCCTAGCCCCCGGAGGCCAGAGCCCTGAGACCTCCTGCCCCAGAGCTCCAAAGATCCGAAACACCCGGGTTTGGGGGATTCATTCATCTTTTCGTCAACTGCGCAGTACTTGGCAGGCGAAGGCAGGTGGCCTGCCTAGCCCGGACGTCATGGCTGCCACAGTGCGCCTTGGAATGAATGGGGCTCCTTGTATGCAGGGTCCTGCTGTGTAAGGACCAGACTGATTGTTCCGTGATTTCCGAAACTCCCATAACGCGTACAATCCTTCATGACCCGAATCTTCCTGGGCGATCTTCCCAACCCAATGCTCGGGTCCCGAAAGCCGACACTAGGAAAAGCCGGACTAGTGACTAGTCCGTCTTGCTAACCTCGTTTGCATGTAGGCCAAAATGAGCATGAAAGTACAACCCAAACGTCCCAAGCCCTGGACCCTGAATCCCCATCTTTATCAGCACAAAGTCAAAAGAAGCACCCGAGGCTGCGGAATGCTTCGAGCTGCCAGATTGGCGCGGCCGGCGCCCCGATGAACTCTCTCTCACTCTCTCTCTATTTCTCGCTCTCTCTCGCTCTCTCTCTCTCTCTCTCTCTCTCTCTCTCTCTCGTTTCTGGGAAATGCGGAAGACTAAGACGGGGCTTGCTTTAAGGACTGTCCACTCTTTTTCTTTGTAGGATGTTCAGCTTTGTCGCGACTTATTTTGCTTATGGTCAAGCATCAAACGAGCTCGCATGAAGATCAAGATCCATCACATACGGCATCGAATTCATAAATAAATCGGCCTGAACCCCAAGATTGCACTTGCAGAGGTAAAGCCGCAACCATACCTCAAGGAACACATCGTCTTGAACCCAAAGCTATACCTTGTGAAAGACTGGCACCGGCAAGCCTTCCTTCCGAAAACCCCGATACCGTGAACCCCTTGGCCTCAAACCCCACGCTCTGAAGATCTCCGAAGTAGTCCAGGATGCTTCCCTGCAGTGTTCTTGGTATTCTTGTACCGCCCAGACTTCCGTCCGGGAGCTTGGCTAAGGGACGGTCACGAGTTCATAAAGTCTTAGAAGCCTGGTATTTGAGGGCGCCAGAATTTCTCTTTCGGATTTAGAGTCTAGGCTGGGCTTTGTTCAGGAAAGTTTAGGGCGTATGGTCCTTTTAGGGTAGGGTCCTGAAAGTTTGTGGGTGCACAAAGAACGAGCGAAAGACTACGGATGCACATCCGTGCTTGAGAAATGTCCATAGAGGTGTGTAGTGCTACCGCAAGGACCTGCGCACTGTGTAGAACCTTTGGGACTCGTGGTTTAGGGTTTCAGGTTTCCTTAAGTCTAGGGAACAGGGTGATCTGAGACTCTAGGGGTTAGCGATGAAGGATGCGACGTTCAGCAGTTTGTACCTGCCTTCGGGGCGTGGTTTACCGCTGCTGACTTCATTGAGGATCTGAATTCAGAGCCGTTGTCCCAAGAGTTCTGCAGAATGACCAGACCCAACCCCATGCCATTTCCCAGACTCAGATTCCGAGAAACTTACACCCTCAAGAACCACAGTCAAAGGGTCAAAGAAAGGCCCCCTACATTCGAGAAAGGGCCTTGTGGTTGGGTGTTTAGGGCTGTGAGTGGTAGGGTAGAAGGGAAGATGTTTTCGTAACATCTTGCTTCAGGCTGTGGGGCTTGAAAACTGCAGCGAAAAGCTTGGAACGGCAGAAAAGACAATCGAATACTGGCTCGGGGTTTAGGGTGACCTATGCCTTTATGAAAGCATCGGGATACCCGAATCAGTCTAACTGCTCTCCGTATCCTACCTACCGACCCGACACCGCGAATATCACACTGCAAAGGCCTTCAAGATGTTCATCATGTCCACCATCATCCCCATCAACACAACACCATCGTCATCCCTGTCCCCATCACCTCTACCATCCATCCGACAGTGGTGATGGCGACGGTGTTTTGCGTCTTTTGCAGGCTCATTTGACTGATTACATGGTCAGTAAGTGGGGGTATATAGCAAGATCTGTTATGGGGATGTTGAAGAGGTTGTAGGGCATACTGAGGAGACGAACTACCTCAAAAAAGCCTCCGAGCACTCGTTGCATCTGAGGTCGTAGACCTGGCGGGCCTTTGCGAGTGCGACTACCGCCTGGAAGCTGCTGAAACTCAGTGCTATGCGCCTTGGCAAAGATCAGTTGTCAGGGTTTCAGGGCGGGGGATTTCCAAGGTTTGAGCTGCACTCTGAACTCTAAGCCCTAACCCAAATGCCTGAACCATACCCGAAAGCCAGGGCTACGTCTTCAGGGTTTGTGGTTTATGGCGGTTTACGGGTCAGAGGTCATTCAAAGCGCAGAAGTCCGATCTTCTAGCTGAGGCATGGGATAGGACCTGCGACTCTAAACCCCCAGACCTCTACGTCTCCTGAGCCTCCAGTGTCTAGGCTCCTCAGCCTTCTAGCATCGGGGCCTCTACAGGCACAGGCTTTCTTCCGTCATAGACCCTAAATACAACACTTCTGCAAGATACACCAATGGCCTGCAATGCTCTGTGCGAAGGATGTTTACTCCCGTAATGGCCCAATAGCCGTAACTGCAAACAAACCTTATCCTCAAGCTCCAGACTCAAAGTCTTACAATCCCAGAACCGTAAACCCATATCACCGGCAAGCCCTAAGAGCCTTAAACTCAACGACCCGAAAAATCCAGCGATCGATGCCAGAAGCACCACCAAGCCAACAAAAACCTTAAACCCCAAAGCACAGAGGTCATATTTCACATCCTAGCCGCAAAACCCTCAGTCGTGCGGGTCTAAAGCACTACTAGTACTAGTACTAGTACTAGTACTAGTACTAGTACTAGTACTAGTACTAGTACTAGTACTAGTACTAGTACTAGTACTAGTACTAGTACTAGTAGTTACTACTACTACAACTACTACAACTAATCCCCTCCCTCGTTTATTAAAGGACCCCCTAATTATAAAAACACTTTTCCCCCGATCCACCCGGAAGTAGCACCGCCCTTTAAACCCTAATTTGAATTAAGGGGAAGGTTTAGGGTCTATAGATTGAGGGTTTAGGGGGAAGAATTATAATTGCATGAGTCAGCAACTGCTCAATTGAGCCGCATGAAAAGCTTTATTAGCCAAGCCTTTATTGAAGCCTATTTTTTTAATGCGTATTTACGGATTTAGTGTGTATTTGCACGGATTTGTGTGTTTGCACGGATTTAGTGTGTATTTGCACGGATTCAGTGTGTATTTGCACGGATTTAGTATGTATTTGCACGGATTCACGGATTTAGATGTATTTGCACGGATTCCGTGTGTATTTGCACGGATTTGGTGTGTATTTGCACTCACGTCCTGTGTAGTTGCACGAATTTAGTGTGTATTTGCATGGATTTGCACGGATCGTGAGTATTTGCACGCAGTATTTGGTGTCTAATTACAGGGATGTAGTGTGTGTATTTGCACAGATTCCGTGTGTATTTGCACGCATTTACTGTGTGCCTGGTGTGTAGTTAGAGGGATTTAGTGTGTGTGTCTTTACACGGATTTAGTGTGTGTTTGCATGGATTCGGCGTGTATTTGCACGGATTCAGTGTGTATTTGCATGGATTTGGTGTGTATTTGCACGCATTTCGTGTGTATTAGCACGAACTTGGTGTGCATGTGCACGAACTTCGTATGTCTTTGCACGGTTTAATGTGCATTTGCACGGATTTGGTGTGATTTGCAACCCTTATAATAGCGTTTCTTAAGTCTCCAGAGAGCCCAGAGCTTCAGGTCACCCCAAAATCTCGATTCCGGGTGGGGAAAGGGCCCAAATGACACCCCCGGGGATTGAGCCCGCAGCCTTTGCGAGGAGGGCTTTGGAGGCAGACGTTTACCCATTAGGCCATGGCCAGATAGTTCTGGGGGCTGGCGGCTGCCTCCCTAGGGGATTTGGGCACGGTCGCAGGCCCAATTCTGGCGGTGTCCCCGTGGGCCCTTTCCCCATCCAGAATCGAAATTTGAAATGACCAAAAACCGCCAAGAGCACAACCAAAGCCGAAAACCGCGCAAACCCACCAAAACCCTCCCCGGTGCAAGTTCCCAACATCAACAACAGCAGGTTGCAGAGGTTGAACCAGCAGGTTGCAGAGGTTGAACCAGCAGGTTGCAGAGGTTGAACCAGCAGGTTGCAGAGGTTGAACCAGCAGGTTGCAGAGGTCGAAGCTGCAGGTTGCAGAGGTTGAAGCAACAGGTTGCAGAGGTTGAACCAGCAGGTTGCAGAGAGGTTGAACCAGCAGGTTGCAGAGGTTGAACCAGCAGGTTGCAGAGATTGAAGCAGCAGGTTGCAGAGGTTGAAGCAGCAGGTTGCAGAGGTTGAACCACAGCAGGTTGCAGAGGTTGAACCAGCAGGTTGCAGAGGTTGAACCAGCAGCAGGTTGCAGGTTGCAGAGGTTGAAGCAGGTTGCACAGGTTGAACCAGCAGGTTGCAGAGGTTGAACCAGCAGGTTGCAGAGGTTGAACCAGCAGGTTGCAGAGGTTGAACCTGCAGGTTGCAGAGGTTGAACCAGCAGGTTGCAGAGGTTGAAGCAGCAGGTTGCAGAGGTTGAGCCAGCAGGTTGCAGAGGTTGAACCAGCAGGTTGCAGAGGTTGAAGCAGCAGGTTGCAGAGGTTGAAGCAGCAGGTTGCAGAGGTTGAACCACAGCAGGTTGCACAGGTTGAACCAGCAGGTTGCAGAGGTTGAACCAGCAGGTTGCAGAGGCAGAGGTTGAAGCAGCAGGTTGCACAGGTTGAACCTGCAGGTTGCAGAGGTTGAACCTGCAGGTTGCAGAGGTTGAAGCAGCAGGTTGCAGAGGTTGAACCTGCAGGTTGCAGAGGTTGAAGCTGCAGGTTGCAGAGGTTGAAGCAGCAGGTTGCACAGGTTGAACCAGCAGGTTGCACAGGTTGAACCAGCAGGTTGCAGAGGTTGAACCAGCAGGTTGCAGAGGTTGAACCTGCAGGTTGCAGAGGTTGAACCTGCATGTTCCAGAGGTTTGGTGGGCTTGCGCGGTTTTGGGCGGGTGTGGTTGTGCTCTCTTGGCGCTTTTGGTCATTTCAACATTTCGATTCTGGATGGGGAAAGGGCCCAAAATGACACCGCAAGAATTGGGCCTGCGACCTCTCCCAAAACTACTAGCGAGGTGCGCAACCTTTCGCAAAACTATCTGGCAATGGCCTAATGGGTAAGTGTCCGGCTCTAAAGCCTTCTTGGCAAAATTCGTGGGCTCAATCCCCGGGGGCGTCATTTAGGCCCTTTCCCCACCCGGAATCGAGATTTTGGGGTGGCCTGAAGCTTTGGGCTGTCCGGGGACTCTCTAGAGCGGACTGGGTGCACATCCGGCTTTCGTGGGGCAGGTTGCAGAGGTTGAACCAGCAGGTTGCAGAGGTTGAACCAGCAGGTTGCAGAGGTTGAAGCAGCAGGTTGCAGAGGTTGAAGCAGCAGGTTGCACAGGTTGAACCAGCAGGTTGCACAGGTTGAACCAGCAGGTTGCAGAGGTTGAAGCAGCAGGTTGCAGAGGTTGAAGCAGCAGGTTGCAGAGGTTGAACCACAGCAGGTTGCACAGGTTGAACCAGCAGGTTGCAGAGGTTGAACCAGCAGGTTGCAGAGGCAGAGGTTGAAGCAGCAGGTTGCACAGGTTGAACCTGCAGATTGCAGAGGTTGAACCTGCAGGTTGCAGAGGTTGAAGCAGCAGGTTGCAGAGGTTGAACCTGCAGGTTGCAGGGTTGAACCAGCAGGTTGCAGAGGTTGAACCACAGCAAGTTGCAGAGGTTTAACCAGCAGGTTGCAGAGGTTGAACCAGCAATTTGCAGAGGTTGAACCAGCAGGTTGAACCTGCAGGTTGCAGAGGTTGAAGCAGCAGGTTGCAGAGGTTGAACCAGCAGGTTGCAGAGGTTGAACCTGCAGGTTGCAGAGGTTGAAGCTGCAGGTTGCAGAGGTTGAAGCAGCAGGTTGCAGAGGTTGAAGTTGCACAGGTTGAAGCAGCATGAAGCAGCAGGTTGCAGAGGTTGAACCAGCAGGTTGCACAGGTTGAACCAGCAGGTTGCACAGGTTGAACCTGCAGGTTGCAGAGGTTGAAGCAGCAGGTTGCAGAGGTTGAACCTGCAGGTTGCAGAGGTTGAAGCTGCAGGTTGCAGAGGTTGAAGCAGCAGGTTGCAGAGGTTGAACCAGCAGGTTGCACAGGTTGAACCAGCAGGTTGCAGAGGTTGATCCACAGCAAGTTGCAGAGGTTTAACCAGCAGGTTGCAGAGGTTGAACCAGCAATTTGCAGAGGTTGAACCAGCAGGTTGAACCTGCAGGTTGCAGAGGTTGAAGCAGCAGGTTGCAGAGGTTGAACCAGCAGGTTGCAGAGGTTGAACCTGCAGGTTGCAGAGGTTGAAGCAGGTTGCAGAGGTTGAAGCAGCAGGTTGCAGAGGTTGAACCAGCAGGTTGCAGAGGTTTGGTGGGTTTGCGCGGTTTTGGGCGGGTGTGGTTGTGCTCTCTTGGCGCTTTTGGTCATTTCAACATTTCGATTCTGGATGGGGAAAGGGCCCAAAATGACACCGCAAGAATTGGGCCTGCGACCTCTCCCAAAACTACTAGGGAGGTGCGCAACCTTGCCAAAAACTATCTGGCCATGGCCTAATGGGTAAGTGTCCGGCTCTAAAGCCTTCTTGGCAAAGGTCGTGGGCTCAATCCCCAGGGGCGTCGTTTGGGCCCTTTCCCCACCCGGAATCGAGATTTTGGGGTGGCCTGAAGCTTTGGGCTCTCTGGGGACTCTCTAGAGGGGACTGGGTGCACATCCGGCTTTCGTGGGGCAGGTTGCAGAGGTTGAACCAGCAGGTTGCAGAGGTTGAACCAGCAGGTTGCAGAGGTTGAAGCAGCAGGTTGCAGAGGTTGAAGCAGCAGGTTGCAGAGGTTGAGCCAGCAGGTTGCAGAGGCTGAACCAGCAGGTTGCAGAGGTTGAAGCAGCAGGTTGCAGAGGTTGAAGCAGCAGCAGGTTGCAGAGGTTGCAGAGGTTGAACCTGCAGGTTGCAGAGGTTGAAGCAGCAGGTTGCAGAGGTTGAACCTGCAGGTTGCCACATGTGCTCTTCTGCACTTGTGCAACCATGAAGCATTGCTATCATCAACAACAACATCATCATCATGTTCTTCATCATCATCATGTTCTTCTCCTGGACCATGATCATCGTCATCATTACCATCACCACCACTACCGCCATCTTCATCATAACAAGCATCACCGTAATCGTCATCATCATTTTCATCGTCATCATTTTCATCATTTAATTACTTGTAGAACCTGTGTTTCTAGGAATTGAGATAACAACACCCCCCTAATTATAAAAACATTTTCGAGTTTTTATTTAGGGCGAAGGGGGGGGGGGGCCCCGACCCTTTAATATTAGGGGGAGGGGATTACTACTGCTGCTACTACTACTACTACTACTACTACTACTACTGCACAAGTTGCCGAGGCTCAATTGGCTTAACTGTCACAGATGCACGCGCTGGGGTTTTTATCTGTGACAGCTGCAGAAGTTGCCGAGGCGCAATTGCCTTAACTGTCACAGCCGGGGAAGAAACTGCCAAACCACAAGGTGGCCGGATAGTACGAAACCGTGCAAAACGCAGGTGCTGCCAAGAAGGTTTAAACACTCCTAAAACCTCAAGCGCAACATATTCTAAACATCAAAAACAAATGCCTGCTGTACGTGGGAGGGGCTCGCCAACAACCTTAAAGCCCAGACCTCGGCGTAGGAGGGTTTGCTCTTGAAGCAACGGCGGTGCTAAACAACTGTCGTTGGCAATGGACTACGACATGACCAAGGTGCTTTAAATGCCGAGTAAAGAAAGCTTCCCCCCAGCCAATTTCGAGTTTTCGCCGAAAGCCCTCGCAGAGCCCAATGTCGAGTTGGCAAGGTCTAGACGTACGTTTGGTGACTATATAAGATGGTCCGAAGTACTTCACGGTAAAACGGCTCTTCTGGAGATGTTGTTCGGGGTGTCTGGGTAACAGTGTCGTCATCATCCCCCCCGCGCCCGACCCCTCCCCCCAAAATGCAAGTCAAGAATTGGAAGCTCGAGTTTGCAAACTTGCAAGTGAATTTTGAAGGATGTTCCTACATGACGAAAGTGCTGCAAATACTGAGTAAAGCGCCTGTGTGCGAGAGGAGTATGTAAGAGGGGTGGTTGATAGGGTGGGGAGCTAACACTACCACTATACTACTACTACGACGACGCCTCCTACTACTACTACTACTACTACTACTACTACTACGACCATTACTACGACTACGACCATTGCTACGACGACGACCATTGCTACGACGACGACCACGACGGCTACCACTACAAATGCTACTACTTCCGGTACCACCACCATTAATGCTACGGACACCACTGCCACCACCGAGTAGCACGACTGCTTCTGAATCTTAGGGATCATGTAGGCGCCTACATAACTACCAATGCTATTTTTGGGGTTCCTGATCATGAATATACTATATTACGCACAAAACGTTGTTCTAATTATTAAGGCCCCTATATTAATTGTCAAGTCAGATCTGGGAGGCCACAGCTCGCTTTGCGGGCCTCACCGAGCCTCTGGAAGGCTGCGAGTCGGGTGCTAGTCTTCGGGACACTAACAAAGCGGTTTTAAAGGGCTTCGGTAGGGTTTTCAAGGTTCGTGTATGCTTTTTTGCTCTTTTGATAGGCTTCCAGTTGATTTTAGGTTTCAGGGCTTAGAACTGTTTTTCTGTGTTTGGGGTTTACTTGGACGCTCCTGTTGGGTTGGTAAGCAGGCTTAGGAAGATGTGCTTCGGGGCTGTTGCAGGGACAATTGGAACGGGGTTCTCGGCAGACTTCATAAAATTCAAACGGCTTGAGCTTGGGACCTCACAGCAAACTACGGCGGTTTGTGGCTTAGGGCTTTCAAGGTTTAAGGGAGACTGGGGATCACCGGTTTTCAGCTACCAAGCAGCGCAGGGGCTCAGTAGATTTTGCAAGTTTAGGGTCCTGCCAAACGAGCCAGTTTGTGGTACTTTATGGTAGGCTCTTGGAATAAAGGATTTGTGCCGCCGAAAGGGCTTAGGATCTCGGTTTCGGCCCAGTTACTGACAGTTCACATGAAGAGGTTTGGGCTCTGGGGTGTTTACTGTTTTGGGATCAAAGCCACATACCACGAAGTGTTGAACATAAACCAGATACAGGCACATTGCCAAAGTTTATGCTTAGAGGCCTTGGGGTCTTGACTTAGGGTTTGGGATTGGGCCTACCGTTTTCGCAGCGCAGTGTTGGCTTTGGGCTCACCCCCAACCCGAAATCCAACTCTAAATCTCATGATTGAAAAACCTAAATCCGCAACCCTGAATCCTCAACCCTGAACGTGAAGTTCTAAGTCCTACACCCCATATAAATCCTAAACACTCAACCCTAAACCCTAAATCGCAAACCAGAGTTCCTAGATCCCGCTGCAGAGGAAGGTTGTGTGTGGAGGGGTTATGATTCTTATGGTTCGAGACTGTTTGGTTGAGGGCTTTAGTAGTCTTTCGAGCTTGACTCGAGTTTAAAGTTGTTTTGCCCGGGGTCTAGGACCCCTTTTGGATTTGGGGCAGAGCGCGATGCCGTTCCAGCGACAGCGCGGCAGATTCAGGCAATTGGGTGCGCCGATTGCATGCCTGCGCAACGAGCAGAGCGCCGGCCAGGCTGTTACAGTGGCCGGGAAATGCTGCCACGCACACCAGCGGTTGAAGCCTTCTGGGTCAGGCGATGCCTTTGACGCATGCACTCAGACCGATCCAAACCGTGTCCAACGGAGTGCAGCTATTCCATCCAAGACTGTGCACTGTGCACCAGCGCCGGCAGATCACCTTAAGCCTGCTGTGACCCAAGCTTTGTATAGCCGAGGACAAACGAGCACGCGGAGCACATTGCTGTTTCCCATCCTTTGCATAACCCCGTTTGTCCCTGCAGCACATAGATCCACACGGCAGAGCCAAGTCCTCAGCCCGCAACCCTACAGAGTTGAGGGCTTCGAGGGTTCGCAGAGATTTTTTCAATTGGGAATTGCAAATTCAATGTTGGATTCAAGGTTCGTAGAGGGTTTTTGTAGCCATAGCCTTGCGAATCCCTCCAGCCCTAAATAAAGCCCTCCAGCCCTCAACACTCAAACCTTCGCAGCAGTCGTCGTACTTGTGAGGATTCTGGGAGTGGGCCAACGCTACTTTGGCATCGAGGCCCAGAGCAAAGCCAAGTCATGGTTGCAGTTTAGACTTAGGATTAACCCCAAACCCTAAACCGTTGTAGAAGGCGTTCGAGTTTGAAGTTTAGGGTTTTAGGATTTAGGGTTTAGGGTTTAAGGTTTAGGGATTGGGGCTTTGGGCTGAGGGCTTTTGGGCTTGGAACGGGGTTTAGGGTTTATGGGACGAGTTACTTTTTCTTGCAGGCGGTTGGTCCGTTCAATTCAGGGCCCTTTATCAGGGGATCCCATCCAAACCAGGAGCCTACCGAGGTGCTTTGAACAACTAGGAGCCGTAAGTTCTATGCCTCGAAACAGCGAAGCCACGAGCGCCTTAACATTCAAACGGTTCGGGGCTTAGGGCTCACGCTTTTGGGCCTTTGGTACTGACGTGGTGTGCGTACATAACTGTGCATTTAGCGGGCATGTGCTTACGTGCCTACATGGGTCGGTTTCTGCCTGTTTCAGCGAAACAATGCGAAGGACGGATCGGGTGATAAAGTTTTACCAATCAAGCTCTATATGCTGAACCTTTGAAGAAGAACCTTCGGTGTAATCTGGGTGGGAGCGCATCCCAAAGACCAAACATCAATCGGTGGGGATGCAAAGTATCGAACTACGAAGGCCCAAATCCCTACAGACCTTACACGCCTGAACCCTAAACCAAATCCTAACCCGGCATAAAGCCAACATGGAGACGGATGCCCGAAGGAATACGAGCCTGAAGGGCGCGCGGCTGAACTTCGCCACATGGTCCCTGGCATCGCCGTCACTTGCACGCAACAGCTTTTGAAGCTCCCTCGGGCTCTAGGATGGGGTTCCTGGTGCCTTTAAGGGTTCGTTTAAGCTTTAAACGTGGGGCAGCACACAGAGATTGGTGAGACGTGCAAGCCAACACTGGGAAAGTATTGGCAACGCAAAAAAATTACCGGCAAAGACACACATTGGGAAACTATGCACCTCCTAGCCCTCAGGCTCTGCCTAAATCTGTGGTCATAATTAAGTTCAATGGGTTACTATAAGGGTGACGAGAGGGGGTCCACAGTTTAGGGGCCATCATAGCTAGAATGCTTTTGGGGGATGCTGGGTGGATTACGAGCTCGCCTGCAGCATATTCGATGCAAGATACCTTGATTCATGACAGGCCAAGAGCTTCATTCAGCAGCTTGATGCTTGCAGGTTCCCGAAGAGGAACTACTTCGAAGATTGACTCAGACCCCTACATCACACTTTCTTGGGTCACTGGGATTATTCGGGGGCTAGTGCGGGGTACGAAGTAGACCAACAGGAGCTACTGATAGGATTATTCGGAGCTAAGGGGACATTGCACGGAGCTCGCGACAAACGGCCATAAGCATGTGGTCCTACATGTCGGGCCAAAACCGCAGAGGCCCCTGTACGCGACCAAACGCAGGAAACGTTACACCTGCGAAGCAGCCACCACGCTCTCCACGCCTAGGGGCTGTCCATGAGTTCGACCCTACACCCCCAAACCGCTGAAAACTCGAGGCTGGGACTTACAACCCCATTCGAAGGGTTACCGCAGGGCTCCAACATCTTTGTTAAACCTTGTAGTTTTGCAGCTGCAGCTGGCTCGTGATGGCACCCCGGTCGTCGTGATTCGTGATTCGGAAGAGGTCAACTCGCACAACAGGGTGTTTAGGATTTTGGGGTGTTGTTTAGGAGCTTGACGGTTTTAGGATTTTAGGGTTTAGGGGTTTGGAGGTTAGGAGTCTAGGGGTTCGGGTAGCTATCCCGACAAGCCTGAGTCCTAAACTCGAAGCTCCGAAAATTCCAAGGTTTTGCAGTACACTCTAGACGCTATCCCTCATATACACACACAAACACACACACACACTCTCTCTCTCTGTCAATGTCTCTCACTCTCACTCTATGTATGAGGCAACATGGATGGTACCATTCTAGATTTATGTATACAAGGGTAAATCTGTGTCTACATATGGATGCCGTACGTGCGTATGACTCGGTGGTTGCAGGTTGGAGCTCGAGGATTGGGACTCCGGGCGCAACTTCCTTCAGAAGCAGGCGGTGCTGTATACGTATGTGCCGCACCTATATCTCACTACGCACCTATCCATCTAACCGAAGCTAGCCACTCTAGGGCCCGGGGCTCAACGTGCAGGATGTGGGACAACCGCAACACTCAGCTTCGAACTGCCTAGGTTAAGTCATCATCTCAACGGAATGACGGGAGCGAACCCGAATCCAGCTAGAGAGTTGAATAGGACTCTCCAGAGCCATAGTGTGTCGAAGCACCAGACGCTAAACCTCAAACAAAAATCGATCGGAGTTCGCTGGAACCTCTCCGGGCCCAGTGTAGACAGCTGATGATGAAAACAGAGGCGTCATGAGCGCATAGTTCCTTATACTATGGTACATTCGCTTCAGTTCCATAGCGAGAGAAAAGAAAAGTGTAACAAGCCGAGGGCCCAACGCCCTAAGCTTGAAACCTGAAGACAATACCACGCTGGCTGGCCACGTCCAGCAAGAAGAATGGACACCCAAATAGTTGATCTCTGGTCCCGCTGTGCTTGAAGCCGTCGGCTCAAACGGTCTCTGAATTTACTCTTACTCACTGTGTGTCCGTGACCATGGGCTGTGCGACAAGCACTGTCGTTGAGGACGCGCGCCAGTCAGTCTCTCAAGATGGCAGGGCGAACTTACCAGAGCGGCGTTCCAGCTTTCACTCCATGGACGACCGGACCAAGCCGTGCAATGCTAACCACCCAAGCGCACCAATGAGATCCACGCACATGAGCTGGGTGAGGCAGTTGAACAGCGTCTTGAAAGAGATTGAGCAGCACCCCAACAGGCTTCAAGTCGTTGTCGCACGAAAGCGTGTTGCTGTCGATTTGAATGCGGAAAGCCAGTTTCGCGTGCTTTAGTGCGCGGAGAGGCTTCGTTACTGTTCAGCTTCTGGATTGTCAAGGAGTGTCAAAACTATGAGATGTCACGTTGACCCTAGTTGGTGGAGTTATCTTCAATACCAGGCTCCTCCGACCATGATGGTGTGGTAGTCGACGGCAGCAGCACGTGGCTTCCACATCCCAAGAGCCCCGCCCGGGGTTCCCTGGGGCTCCACGCAATATAGGGACCTAAGTAACTACCTATACTGTTTTGGGGTTTCTGATTTTTGATTTTAGTGTAACGGGGCCCAAGACCCTATTCTAATTATTAAGGCCCCTACATCAACCCAGTAACCCGTTACTTAGGCAGCTGGAGCCCTAGACAACTTTATACCTGAAGTTTTCTGATGCTGCTGCAAGCTGTGGAGATCTCCTCGCTCAAAAGGCTGTGGTCCTTTTCTTTTCCACAAGCCTTGGGTCGTGGCTCCGCCTTGAAAGTGGCTATTGAGTAGTTTGTGCAGATGCTCGTCTTTTCGCCAAGTTTTTCGCACGTGGCGTGAGTCGTGCACTCTGCTATGTCTCGAATCCTCTCAATATTGCTTCCCGGGAAGGCTGGATGAAGCTTGATTCTGATCATACAAGGGACATGTATAGCACAGCGAGGTGACGGTCCAAACCCGTATTCTGCAATCTCCACCTAAACCCTTGCACTCCGAACCCAAATCTGAGCGACAATAGTTCCTCCTTGGCACCATGATTTGCCATGGTACTCGCTTAGAGGAACCTTTTAGACCCTAAGCCTTTCTAGAGGGGTCACATGTAGCTTTGCATAAGTGCAGGCCCTGTTGCGCTCCCTTCAGCGGTTACACGTAATACAGGCGCACAAATAGCTACCAGTACTTTTTTTTGGGGGGGGGTCCTTATTATAGTTGGGGTAGAATATACCATACCCCGAAACCCTGTTCTAATTATTAAGGCCCCTATATTATGGTACCCTGATAGATCCCTTATGGTAGCCCTTAGAGACACCCTTTAAAGGAATCCTATTCTAATTTTTAAGGCCCCTATATTTGGATTTTGCGAACGGACTGCGATGCCTTGTCAAGTTCTAAGGTGTCACTATAAGAGCTGTGAACAAGACCGTGTAAAGTGCAAGAGAAGGGGGCACGCTACGCGTCCCTCGACTCTAAGGGGGCACGCTACGCGTCCCTCATCTTTACCTTTCTATGTGACCGCCCACGCAACGTTTGGCTCAAGTCAATGCCCATAGCTAAGTGCTATAAGTGTCTTCTATCCTGAGCAATCAGAGCTATCCCGTTGCACAGACGAACCGCCGCCGGCAGTGAGTGCAAAAGGAACGGCCGCCGGTTCTGCCTGCATAGGATTGCACGCGTGGAAGTGTAAGAGAGACAGGGTCCAGTCTGTGGAGAGTGCAAGCCAGCCACACCTACATTCATTACAGCTCTGGTGGGGAGAGCAGCAACCTAGTCGAGATCAATCCCCCACGCAGGTTATCAGCCGTACGCGGCTCTGCCTTTCTACAGCAACGACTACTTGATCTACTACGACCACAATGAACTCGGGATCAAGCCAAGATACGACAATGACTTTCGGTGCCGATGTGGCAGCGCCAGCCGTTGGTGAGTCAACAGCTGATGACACAGTGGTGCAATCCGTTGATAGCTCCACGGAAGATGACAAAGGTCAATCTTCTGCGCTTGCCATTGCAAAGGCAGTTCCCAAGGTGAAAGCAAAGAGTCTACCAAGAGCATCTACGCCTTCGCGTCCGACATCCACAGGTTCGAGGACGGGCAAGGCTCCCGAACGACGAGCCGAAGCGTCTGGTTTTCAGGCACCTCGGACTACGTCCAGGGCCAAGGACAAAGGAGTGAAGACCTTGGAAAAGAAGTCAAGACCATCATCTTCGAGAAGCTCTTCAGCACGATCGAGGACTTCGGCTACTCGTGGGCGTGACAAATCCATGACTTGGAATCGGATGGTTACCAATCAACCACGTGATGCTGACGATCTGGATATGACTCTGGACACTATCCCAGCACGTGGTGATGCGTCATCGGTGACCACGCCAGCCATAGCCGATGGTCCGAATGCCTATCAGGAACTGACGATTTCGCAACAGCTCGAAGCATCTAACCTTGCGCAGCAGATGTACTATCGCAGTCAGATGCAAGAATACGAAGGAGTTGTTCAGACCCTGATGGACAAGATCAAGGAGATGCAACAAGAAGATGAAGGATCTGGAATTCGCATTGAAGAATTGGAACGACAACGTGACCATGCATGCTTAGCCATGAGGCACATCAACAATGTCAATCAGGAGATGAAGCGAGACTATGAAACAGCTTTGTTTCGCATGGATGAACAGAACTCTGCTCAACAACGTCAAGCACATGCCGTTGCCGAGGAGTTAGCTCAACAGCTACACGTGTTCCGCACGGAGGCAGCCACTAACTTTGTGCAGTTGGAGGCAAGAGCGCAAGGCGATGGTGAGCTTATGGCACGTGAGTATGAGCGTCTGACTCATGAACTTCATGAACATGCCAGAGAGAACTTGGTCCTCCGGTCAAACACAGCAAGTTCGGAACAAGCCTTACAAGCAATGCAGGAACGATTCCACTTGGTCAAGAACCAGGAGTTGCGGGCCGTGAACGAGATTCAAGGGCTAGCTGGAAACAGCGCAGCCATTGATCAAGAACGATTTCGGCTTCGCGAACGTCTTGGTGAAGAGGAAGAGTACCGCAAAATGGCTGTGAAGAGGATGCAAGATGCAGAGGACCGACTTCATCAGAATGAAGATCATGCAAGGCGATCATTGCCTACCTTGCACGACGAGCTGAGTGAACTCAGGAAAACGCTCAAAGCACAAGAAGATCTTCAAGCGAGGACACGCAGCGAATTGGAGGCAGCGCGGAACTCCAACTATGGAGGAGCGACACGGCCTTCAAGCATGCCCATGTCTTCGAGGACTACTGAGTCTGGCTGGGAGCACGTAGGAAAGGAAGTAGTGCCTGCATTTTCCGTAGGAGGTGAGGTACGATCCCCTGAAATACGGTCCCCAAGTCAAGTTAGTCCAGTCGCCAAAGAGAAGTTCGCATTCTCGGAATCGGACAAGGACAAGAACCTTGTGATGGATGGAATTCCATTCACCGGTGGAAACTTCTTCACTGGCCGCAATTCAATGCCAATCGTGGCGGATGCAATGCCCGAGCACTACGTGCCAGGTATTAGCAGCCCAGCACTTGCGCGTTCCACGCCTAGTGCAGCCACTTTGTTCGGCATACCAAGCGGATTTCATGGGAAAAGTGATGCGGCAGCCGTGCGTGATCGACAGCTACGCGAACTCTTGGAGGATCGCGGGATGTTGGGATCGAAGTCCACAGCATCTGCCAGCTCCTCAAGACCTGTTGGTGTCGACGGCATCACCGCATCTACGAAGGGCAACGACCTCATCGGTCCCCCTATTGCCTATGACGATTCCATTCATGAAGCAAGGAGACGTCAGATCGAGAAAGAGGTCGCGGAACGGTACGAGGAGAAGATTGCCGATCTGCGAAGCGAAGTACTCAAGGCCCAGAAAGCCGAACAACGTCTCAGAGCTGATCGTGATGAGTGGAGATTATTCGCTGAAACGATTCAGGAGGATAATGGAGACGATGACGGTGACGAGGCTGGCGACGAGAACGAAGATGGAGAGCACGATGAAGGAACCGGCACGGGGTATGACCCTCCTGACCCGCCTGATGATGATGATGATAAGAAGAAAAGCGGTGGAGGCAAACCTGAATCGGATCCTGGATCTCATGCGCGTGATCCTGATGGAGACGCAGATCCTGAAGTCACGGAAGTGAGAATTTCCAGGAGGGAGGCCGACAAAGTGACCGTACCTCCATGGCCTACTCTCACTCACCTCAACAACTGGCGATCCGTATGCACGGCGAATGTCTTAGGAGCATCAGCCGATCCAAATCATGAGGACTGGATGTTATGGCTGGCACCAGCATTCAACCCATTCCCTGATGTCGAAGCACTGAACGATTCAGGACACAAGAAGTTCAAGAGCGTAGACGTCAAATTGGGGATCGCAATGGTCGCAATGCTACGCGCTGGTGGTGACAAATCTGCTGACCTGTACCTGGAGGTGAACCGGAAGGCCAACGATTACATCAGCAGGCCCGAAGGGAAGATCATCAAAGGACGACAAATCATTGCGATGATGTATGAAAGTTTTCGAACGCATGATCGTCTCGACATGATCATCACTCTCGAGTATCTGGTGAAGCTCCAGTACCAAGGCG